GATGAGTCAGGTCCGGGTTGACTGGAGAAAAACGAGCCTGGAGCCGGTCAGCAAAAAGCTGGAAATCAGCAAACTGAAAATCTCCCCTAGCAAGCAACACAGCTGCCCAGTCCAGAGCCTTGCCAGTGAGCAAGGAAAGGGCGAAACCGATCTGCTCCCGGGGAGAAAAAAAATGCTCAGGATGCAACTGGAAAGCCAAGGAGCATTGCGCAATAAAACCCCTTCAGCCCGCTGTGTTGCCGTCATATCTTTCCGCGAGAACAAATGGTGAGGTTACGGGAGTGGTGGGCGGGGTAACAGGGATCAGAGCAGTGGTCCGTGCTGGAGGCGAAGGGACAGGGGAGGGCGGAAGGCTAGCGACGTGATTGGAGAGAATGTGGAGCGAAGATTGAAGCTGGCTGAGAGCTTGGGAATGGTGATTGAAAAGTGAGCGAAAAGCTTGTGCGTCCGCGGGATCCATCTTTTGGCTCGGTATTCTGTTAGGAATCCCTGGTGGGAAGATACTAGGATCCTGTGCAGACGCAGGCATGGGTAAACGATGAGACAGGCGAACAAACCAAAACGAGAGGCAAGGTCGTGGTCAAAAGGCAAAAGGCAAATCGTAATCCAGGAAGATCTCCGGTAGTAAACAGTCTGAGGCGAGAGGCGAGGTGCAAAGTCGAAAAGGATGAAGGGGAATCCAAAAACCAGAATAAACAAGGTATGGGGGAAAAACGCCAAGCAGAGATCTCAAGGAGTAGACTCAATACCGAGCAGCGGGAAGCAGGTGAAGATGGTATAAATAGCACTGCGCACCGCACGGTGAGTGTGAGCAGGTGGTTTAACTCGTGTGGCAGCATTTGTTAATAATCACCCGCTGCTGGGGCTGATTAGCTCGCTTACGAGTTGGTCTTGACTGCCTGGTGGTCGTGACACCTGTAGTTGTTAAGAACTTGTGGATCCAAATTTGGCTTCTTAAGGAGTGGTTTAACAATCACTACTTTAAATTGATCAGGTACAACGTCTGATACAAGTGACATATTCATCATACTAATTATACTGTAGGTCCTGCTTATTTACTTTGAGGGAATCTTTGACTAACTGAGTGGGGATTGGATCTAGGGGACATGTGGTTGACTTTGTCTTAATAATAAATTTCTTGAGTTCTTGTTCATTAACTAATTAAAAAACACTAAAGAGGTGCTCATATTGTTTCTGTACCAGACTTCTTTGCGGCTTATTCGATTGTGTTTGAAGTCTGATGGTGTTAATTTTGTCATTAAATAAGTTCATGAAATCGTCACTACTAAAGTTAGATGGTGCTATAGAATCGGCCTTATTTGTTAGATTAGCTATTGTCTTAAATAGGTAGTGAGGGTTGTTTTTATTGCTTTCTATAAATTCAGAGTAGTAAGCTGAACCAGCTCTATATACTGGAAGTGTTTCTTATATTGTTGCAGGGTATCAGTCCATGCCGACTTGAATACTTGCAAACCAGTAGACCTGCATTTGCGCTCTAGTTTATGGCACTCCTGTTTAAGGGATCGTGTGTGATCATTATACCATGGAGAGTGTCTAGTGGTTTTGACTACCTTAGTCTTCAAATTTCATCATGTGCCTGTCTGACCACTGTATTATAATTATGTGTGATTTCATGAACTTTACTGGAGATGAAGCTAGCATTATTCATCATGTTCATGACATTTAATGAAGTACTCCCATTGATGTCTCCTGTTGTAATAGTCTTCTCCTTGGCAGCTATCAAGGGCATCAAGGGCATCAGCTATCAAGTCAAATCTAAAAAGTAATTAAAGAGTGGCCAGAAAAAGAGTTAAGAGTTAAGAGTATCGGATGGACTAGTACATGATGAATATCAGCTCTATGAGTGATAATAAAGTCTAGTGTATGATTGTATACAGTATGTGTGTTGGTCCTTTTATATGCTACAACCTAGAGTCAAGGAGAGACTGTCTGTATGTCCATATGTAAGTTAAAGTCACCTAATATTACAACTTTGTCTAAATTAACAACTAAATCAGAGAGCAGTTCACTATATTCGGCAAGAAACAGTCTTGGGGATCTGTACACTAAAAGAATGTATGTAGATGATTCGGGTGCTGTTTTAAGAAGCATTGCTTCAATTTTGTGAAAGTCATTAATAGGTTTTAATTCAATTTTCAGAGACTCACTGAAGATGACTGCTAGGCCACCTCCACGCCCTGAGCAACAAGCTTTCTATTAAAAAGTATAGCTATTAGGTAAGGCTACAACTAAAGGAATAGTCTCAGTGGGTCTGAGCCAGGTTTCTGTTAGTAGGCACAGGTCAGAGTTTGTGTCAAGCACCATATGTCACGCCCGACATCCCTCCCTAGAGGGCGCTTCACTGCTCTCATTATTGTTCGTGTCATTTAGCTCTCCAGGTGTACCCTTTTAGTGTTATTATTTAAAGACCAGCTCTTCCAGTTCTCGGGGCTCATCATTAGGGAAAGATGTCACGAGGCCCGCCTAGCACCAGGAAACCCTACGTCCGTCTCCTGAGGGCATAGGCCCGTTTCCTGAGCCTGGGGTCTGGAGGATCTCGCCCCATCACCCTTGGACCTCCATGTTTCGTTTGTCTGTGTGCTCCCCCCTCCCGGGGATTTTAACTTTGTCGCGTTCCAGGATGGATTTCCAGTTTATGGACTTTCGGACCGTGCTTTGACCTGCCCTTGGACCCGTTTGGATTTGGATGCCGTTTTGTCTTCCCCGTACACTGTCTCACGGACGGTCACTATTATTTTGTGCACTATTAAACCCCTGTGTGTTCCCTTTTACCACGCCTCCTGTTTCCTCCAGCTCTTACCGCATCGCATAGGGTCTTCTATAAGATCTGACACGGATTCCAGTCCGTGTCCGTTACACCATATCATTAACCAGAACTGATTTGTTGCCTAGTGAGTGAACATTTAACAGATTGATTTAGGTTTACCAGTGGAATGGAGATTAAATTGTCAACACAGGAGCCCCTAAAGGAACGTCTGAATTCTAATCAAGGTCTAGTGAAAGTTGCAATACTCTGTCTATTCACAATCATAACTGGTTCTGAATAGTAATGTGATTGATGGGATGCCGTGTGGCAGAGAATCAGGCACTATAGTTACAGAAAATAAGCTAGATTAATCTTCAAATGCATTCGCACCCTACTCGGGAGTTGGAGCCTCTGGTGTGAATTCCTTCTCAAAATAAACTTCTCAGCCACTTATTTCTTAAACTGTTTTTTCTCTGTTTCTTTTTATTTCTTGTCCTGCACATCAATGTAAGATTTGGTATAATTAATGGTGTATCATAGTCTGGAGCTGCTTTGCTGCCTCAGGACCTGGAGAGCTTGCCATCATTGACAGAACCATGGATCTGGAGTGTCATAAAATTCTGGAGGAAAATGTCAGGTGATCCATTTTCACAGGAGTCGAAAATGGGTCATGAAGCAAGACCATGATCCTAAATACAAAAGAAGATCTATAACACCATGGCAAAGAAGAAAACATTTCAAATACTGAATTGGACATGTTGAAGACTGGACCTAAACACTGTTGAAATGTTATGTCAGGACCTGAAGTGAATTGCTCAAGCAAGAAAAACCCTCAAATACCACCAACCTGAAGCAGTTCTTTTAAGGAAGAACAAGCCAAAATTCCTAAAGGCCAGTCTAAGACTTATCTTTGAGAGAATGAATGGAGCAGCTACGGGAAATGTCTGTCTGAGATCATAGCTGCTCAATGAGGTATCAAATAGATATGGGTATTTATTGATTTCCAAACAATGCATTTATGAATTTTCACTACAACAAAGCAAACAAATGTATACCCATTTTCTGAGTATCCTACTGAAGGCAGAGAAATACACTTCAGTACGTTGCATAGGTCCAAGCATCCTTACATCATCACCACATTCATATTATGAATTTTGCTACAACAAGCCTGAGAATTTATATACAGGATTTTATTAAATACAGACCTGTTTTTTTAGGTTAACAAGGCTTCAATGGTCTGTAATTAACATTTTGTCACTTTCGGTACAGGTTTTGTACTACAGAAGAGTAAGTCAGAAAATTATTGTGTGATTTTTATGGAATTTGGAAACCAGTTGGAGGAATTTGCCTACTGTATATTCTTAAGGAAATTAATTTTTAATTTTCAAATTATAAACTTTTTCCACCTTAAAACAATTTTCATGGAATAAATTACATTTGTAAAGGTATACAGTATCTGTATATACAGTAATTATTATTTTTATATTTATTCACATGAGGATATTTATGAAGATCTAATTACAAATGAGATGTCTAATGTCTAAAATGTACGAGAATATGTGCCAACCTTTAGGGTGCACAAACCTTTTCTCTACACTGTCTTTGGTGACTGTTTCTCAGAAATATTGGCTTTATGTTCTCAAAATTGAAAAAGAGGATCCTACAGTTTCCCTTGGGATGATCATCCATAGAGCTTGATAGAATGTCTTCAGGGAATTGTCACTATGGAAAGAAAGATTATCTTTAGATTTGCTGCATATGGGACAGTCCTTTATTCTACTCTATATTTTCTTCAACAAATATTCTGCTTTAGCTACTAATACCACTTTTCAATCAGTTCAAGAAAAATCACCTGTAAAATTACAAAGTATGAAATAATTAAATGCAGTAAGTTACTAAGCTGCAGTCAGAGAACTCACTTCAGAACTTCAGAACACTTCAGAACAAGGTTTTTCCTGTAGTTGGCTAGTTTTCTACCATGGCTGCCCTTTCAGATTCAATTTAAGGGGAAAGAAATGTGGTCTAATTGATTGTGTGCAAATGGGACACAAACAGTATTCAGCACAGTTTCAGGTTATTCCTGCTACTTTCCCATATGATTAACTATTAACTACTGAACTGTATATGTTAGATTAGCCACTCCACACAGCTCTTTGGTTAAAGTGTAACGTCAGCATCAGGCAGGGAAATGATAATAAGGCAGTTATTTTCAGCACAAGAAAAGCAGCTTTGCTTCTGTGAACACCTCACAGCACTGTGCTGAGATAAGGTTTCTTAGCAACTATTGCGATCAGGAGCTCGTTTTTAATCATTTTGTTTCCTTTTCTATTTCACAGTCTTGTTTCCTTTTCAGTTCCAGGTAGGATATATTTTTCTTTGTGTTTTTTTTAATGTGTTTTCTTTTATTTTGAGGGTGAAGTGTATTTTTCTTTTCCCATGCATCAGTAATAATATTGTCTAAGCACAGCAGTGACAGCTGCTTGTAGCTGCCTTGTTCCTCATTAGACTTGTTAACAGTTCCTATAATTCAGCCTGATTTATGATAAAAAGGCAAAAGTGCTGTTGATTTCCAGCTGACACCTGAAAGTGCTGATAAGGCCTCCCATAAGTCATGTTCAATTTGTCTTTTTACTGTTAGATTCCTAGTTGGTATATACTAACCATGTAAACTCCCTTCTCCTTTTTAGATCTGTAGCAAGCATTTTAAAATGAGCCATTTTGTAAGATGTAAATGCCAGTGTTTTTTATGGTTAATTATTTCTATTTTTGATTTTATAAATATGAAAAAAAAGGAGTCATGACTTCATATCTAAACAGATGCCAGACTCCACTGCATCATTTTCTAGCTAAAACTAGAGTATATAGCAGACAAGCTAGGTTTCAAGCTAGGTGCTGTGAGGTGAGTCCAGAGCTTGATAAGGACTCTAGACTCTAAATCAGAGGGTCATAGGATTAAAAGTGACAGTATAAATGGGTCTTCAGGCTATAATTATAAATGAAAATCTGTTCCCAACTGACTAACCCGGTAAATAAAATAATGAAACATCATTGTGGAGAGTTTGTTTTGGAATTATATTATTCATAGCAACTTAGAATAAACAAATACTGTACATACTGTAGTTGACTGCTACACAGAGTCTTATAGTGCAAAAAAAGAATGTAGTAAAGTAATGTTATGACAACTGTGTACACTACCAAGCTGAAAACAAACTACAAGAATTATCACAAGGTTGTAATAAACTATGAAAAACAGACATATTTAGCTTCTTACCATACAGTTGTTACTATATTATAATCTAAATGTGAATAACTGTAATTACTACTAAAAATAATAATCTGTATCTTACTTTTGAAAAAAATCTTGCTACTACCAATAATAATACTAAAACTACTATATATAATATTACTTATTTTAGTATACTAATAATAATGTATTATTACTGGTAATAATAATTATTCAGTGATTATTACCACGCTTTTCTCATAATACTTTTTTCACCTGGACTTAAACAAGAAGTGTAAATTGGCAAGTAAGTATTCTAATGGATAAATCTAAACAGGAGAACAAAAATGTCTGTTCCACGTTGGTCTGTTAGTTTTATCATCATTATTTTAAATAATTTAAAATTAAAAATTATCTTTATTGAAGGCAAGATACATTCAAAAACAGGTATTTATCACATAGTTCTAAAGTTGCAACATTTTAAAAAAGAATGCAACATGAGAGAGTATATAGTACAGTTCTTATAGAACAGGAGATACAGCAATGTACTGTAAAGCACATGAATAGTAAATATACTGGAACCTACTAACTGATTTTCCATGATCCATTTTTTTCACAGCACAAACTCAAGATGCCTAATGTGTGAAGTCAAAGACTGGTGTCTACTTTGCAGCTCCTGCAGTTTTTCTGGTTTCCTTCTGGCATTTTTTCGGTTGCAGTGCCACCAAAGGTCTAAAGGTAGATACTGCATGCTGGAGTACACACAAATAGAAAACAAGCAAATGATAATCTTAAATGCACACGCTAATTCTCCTGGAACATCTCCAACATTTCTCTACATCTGCAAAAACTATCCACCACACTTACATGCAGGTTTTCACTAGTATTACTTAAATTACTGTCAGCCACTGTTTTCAGCTGCTGTTGAACTGGAGCACATAAGGCAAATAATGTTTAAAAACAGTGATATTGAGAAAGTTTGATTAATAATCTTTACCTGTCTTTTCATAGCATTACAGTATATATGCATTGTAAGCAGTAAGTTCCTAGATAAAACTGAAAATCACAAAATGCAAAATGTCTCACCTGACTGCAGCTTCATTTCTCTTGAATTTAATGAATGGAAAAAAAGGTATTACTTTGTCATTTTCTGTTTAAACTGTTTGAAGCATTGGTCTTAACAGAACCCTATTCTTAATGAAATATTAAAAATGTTATTGATATTTTAGGTATTAAGTGTTTTAATAAACTATAAATAAAGCATAAGTTGGGCTGAGGATATTTTATAAAATACTGTATATAAACGTATACAGAATTTCTATTTAAAAAATACACACTTACAAGTGCCTTACAAATGTATTCTGACCCTTCCTATATGTCCCATGTTATAAAATTACAAAATTATGCTGGCACATTTATCAAACTTTGAAGCCTGAATCGTCTTGGGTTGAAGAGTTGGTGTCAGTCAGGATTTTTTGTATCAAAAGTAACGCCTTGCATTTAGACCAGAATGTTCCAGTTTTGTCTTATTTGACCACAGAACTTTCTGCCACAAGTCTGCAGTATCACTTAAAGTTTTGTCTCACATGTTTTTGTGTGGAGTGACTAGGATATTGTCCCATTTCAGCCAATAAACTATGTAACTTTGTCAGAGTTGCTATTGGCTATATGGTTTTGGCTATATTTACATATTTTTTTGTAAATCCATTGATTTTGGTTAAATTGTGAATAAATGTATTTGAATATATACATATATCTTGTAAATATGTATCGAGGATGTTTCTTTCAGCAAGGTTACCAAAGGATTCAGTTCTTTATTTCTTTTAAACACCATATGAATAAATTAATCTGCATACAATTATAAACATGACCTTTTGGGAACTTGACTCTTATTATTATTAAAAATAATAAATACATTCAGGTTTGACAGCCGGACAGAATCACAGAATACACTGGAGGGGGTAAAAGTACATATGGGGTGGAGCGGTGGCACTGTGGCTAAGGATCTGCACCTGTGGCTGGAAGATTGTCAGTTCAAATCCTGTGGCTGGCAGAGGAATCCTACTCTGTTGGGCTCCTGAGCAAGGCCCTTGACCCCAGCTGCTCCAGGGGTGCTGTACATTGGTGACCCTGCACTCTGACCGCAAGGTTCTCTCCCTGTCTGTGCGCCTCATGGAGAGCAAGTTGGGGCATGTGAAAAGACAAATTCCTAATACAAGAAATTGTATATGGCTAATAAGTGATCTTATCTTATATAGAGAAAAGGCAGCCACGATATCCAGTAACAGGACAAGTGGCGCCAGAGAGAAGACATTGAGGACCTGTGCTGCTTTTCCAAAATGTCGTTATATTTGCTGAACTAGTATGAAAGCTAGGTTTTGCTGACACTTTCTGTTCAAACATTTTTCAGCCCCCTTAACGCAAAAAAGTAGTTTGCATTAAAATCTGCCAGGCCTTTCTTTGTTCGTTATATATTGTTACAGTACTTGGTAATGAGGACATATGAATTCTATAATTAATGAAAGTGCTCAAAGCTCAAAGATTGTCTTTAAAGTAATCTAAGTAAGCTAGTCATGGTTTAGTAATGAGCTACGTCAGCTAGGATGAAAGTGTTCACTATCTCCCGTTATTTTCAAATAATATCGTTGATATTATCGTTATTATTGATCCTATGTTAGAGGGAACTTCAATACCCTCGTCTGCTTCAGCCGTAAAACGCCCGCAGAGATAATGCGAGTACGACAGCATTCAAAGCCCACTGCTTACTGTATGTGTATTTTGCCGCGGAGCTGCTCCAGCATATATTAATCACTGCAGGTGGCCTAACAGTTTCATACAACGTAAAAGACAAAAGTAATAATTATTCAACCTAAATTGGAGCACTTCAGTCCTGCATTAGTGGTAATTAAAGTCTGGTGTTGATATACGAAAGATCAGTTTGATGCATTTGAAAAATGCAGCTCGCAGTTTTCTGAAGCTAGTTTAATGAGGTTTGTTTCCCTTCTCTAAATGAAACTTTGCTTTGCATGGCACTAACCCTGACAATGGCTGGAAACCTTTAACTGTGTGCTCTCTGGTGTGTTCCCCAGATATGAATGCAGATGACACATACAGTAGCATTTCCAAATGGACGACCTGACTCCACAGTGTAACAGCTCCAGTCAAGAATATCCCTGCAGTAAGTTCAGTCGCCTTTGGATTTTACATGTGTGGCTAAAGGCCATGGACTAGATACAATTTGATTCAATCTGGACCCTGCCTGTGTCTGCATTATAATATCCAGGCAAAGCAATGCTAAATGTTTAATTTCATAGGATTTCAAAACCCTGATTATAAAACTCAGATCCTGTGGAATGTCTTCATACCAGTAACGATTTTTAAATGGGTGTAATTAGGGTTGTCATCCTTCAGCCCTAGACTCCCGGAACATGAACAGGTTTCCTAAATTACTAATAATTAGTGTATGAGGTGAGGCACATGATACTTTAATTGGAATTCTCAATAGTATTTCTTCCTTTAAACATGCTTTAAGCAATGGTTCACCAAATGGTCCTGAGACCACTTATTTGATTAGTCTTATAGGCCTTAAAGATCTTGTTCCTCAACCACTTCTAAACATTTAGCATTGTTTTTTTGTTCTCTAAATTACCTAACATCTGGTTTGGTATATGTTATATATGGGCTATTTATAAAGTGGTAATTCCGGTGCGATTGGCTGACGCTTTCGAAACCGTGCTATATTCTCTGATATACGCACACCCCGGAAGAAATTCTGAGTTTTTACTGTGTGATAAAGAAACATCAATGCGCTGACTGATAAATAACGGTCAAATCAAATCAATCGCATAGGCTTTTAAAGATTACTCAGGTATTTGATACATGTATCTTCTTCTACTTTATTTGTTGCGCTGGTGAGTTTTTGTGCTCTCATTGAATGATAGAGTCGCGTAGTTTAAATCATTTTCATTCTTAGAAATTATCAAACGCTCGATTAAAAGCAAGGGAGATTATGTCTTTTATAGATATAGCGAGAGTTCGCTACGGCATTACTGGAAACCCAATTTTAACGACAAAGCGCTGGAGTGATATCCTGACAGGCACCGAGGCCAGCACCGGTGGGAGCACTCCCGCAGCGAAAAAAAAATGCCTGACGAACTAGGGATTGGACAGTTTTTCAGTGCTTGTATGATCAATGGAAATGTTCAAATAAATTTGCTAAAGAAATAAATAAAAAACAAGTCATTTATTCCTTTATCATATTGGCTAGGGCTGAAAAGCATTGTTAATGTCCCCTCTTTAATAGTTAATGTTATTTATGGCTGTGTTTCTGCGTTACGTAGCAACGAGGGACTATATTCTCAGGCGGAGGAACGTAAAAGCTTAATTTTTTATTTTTTTTTTAAATTAAAGTTCATTCTATACAGCAATCGCATATTTTGGGACAGTTTATAAAAGCAATAAGGCACTCGAGGCCTGTGTTATATCGTGAATATAGCCACAGTTAAAAGGGGTAACGCCTTTTAACTATGACTATATTCACGATATAGCACGGCCTCCCGTGCCTTATGGCTTAAATATCTTTACCCACTCTCTTGTTAAGCTGTTATTCACTTTGAATGTAGTTGATTTTAGTGTAGCTCGCTGATAATGGAAGTATTGTCAGCCAATCAGTAACAATCACTTATGTTTTCCACCAAATAGGATACTGTATGTAACTGCTCATTGGTCCATGTACTCTATACTGCCACTAAATGAAATGGATTTACCCCACAGTAGGTCATGTTGATGAAATATGAAGTCCTGTACCCCTCAACAGTGTTTGGATAACAAAGTCAAAACTATTTCATAATGCAGTCAAAATCTGCATTTGTGATTACAGAATTAATATGAACAAGTAAAATACAAACTTTTTATTTCATTTTTTATTTCAAAATTTCATTTTTGGGGTGATTCTACGCAGACACTTATTGTAACTGTATGAGGACAAAAAATACTTAATGTTCAACCAGTGGTTTCATGTTAGTTTTAGATGCATTCACTTAATGTAAATTTGAGAATTAAAAGTGAGGTTGACTTTTTTTTTAAACCACACTTTCCTTCACTTTTGTCAAGATTTGTCATGGTCTCTGTCCATTACACATTATTATTAAAAAACTTTCCTGGCTCATCTTTGTGCTAACAGGGACATTCTAAAGTGTTGGACACACATATCCATCTTTGAAACTGGCTTACTTGTCTTTAATTAAACTTCCTGAGACAAAAAGTGAACTGCACAGTATTTTGTTTTGGTCTTCATGTTGATATGATTGGATGAACTTTTAATTTTGTAATTAAAAAAAATACACGTTCCTCTAATTGATGTGGTATTAATAATATAGTTTTGCTTTGTTTATGGAAATCCAGATGACCAAGGCACTCAATATGCATTGATCATCATCCCAGTATTCTTGGGAGTGACTACTGTCCTCACCATCACTCTGATTCTCTGGAAGACATGCTGCAGGAAATGGGAGCAGGAGAGAGCTCCTATTGCTTCCCTGCAAGGTACGTCAAACTGTAATATTTGTTTATGACTTAAACTAGGAACATGCTTATATTCTGCTCCCAGATGGTAAATACTTACTGTTTATATTACTTTAGCTAATGTGAATAGAGTATCACATTAGCTAAAGTAATATAATGTGATATTACACAGTACTATAGGAAAGTCTCTGCACTGAACTGGCTAGCTGTGGGTTCAAGTCCCTACTGCAAAGTGAGATACTTTACTCCAGTTGCTCCAGTCCACTCATCTGTATAAGTGGCAACCAGCATTGATGGAGGGTATTACCTTAGAGATGAGACTAGGGTCTCATCTCTAAACATCATGGTAAACACCATGGAAACCAGGATGTGTTCTGTGGTTCAGGTATGGAAATTCCTTACCTATCAATTTAGAATTCCAACTGATGTCACTGGGAGAGTTGACTTTTCTTTGATTCTCTAAGTTCCAGTATTGTTACAGTGTTATTCTATATTGTGAACTCAAATCACTGCATTTAGATGGGATCATACATCCATGTTACATTTTCAAAATCACTTTTGTAAAAAACTGAAACTCTGCTGAATGTTATTCACTGGGTTAAGCTCTAAGTTGATGCAACCAACTGCTCCACTAAGATAATGTGAAAAAAATAACAAGTAGAAATTAATTCCAAAAAATAATAATGCTTTAACTATTGATATGTCCTAATGTGTGTGAAGAAGAGGAAGACAAGGTGGGAATAAGAGAAAGATAAATGGATAATGTAAAACAGCATTTACAGTACTACAACTCATCAGAGGCAAAAACCTGAATCATTTCTTTATATAACCTTGATTTCTCTGAAAGTTAGGTCACTAACTTGTTTGATTGCTAGTAGCTGTTTCTTGTAGGAAGTCAGAGCATTAAGTTGATAATACATCTGTCTGATTTATTAAAACATTTAAAGATAGGTTAATTATTCCTTTGAGAAAAGGAAATGAGCTGCACAACACAATCTTGATGCATTTTATAAGGTAGTGATAAAGTGATAATGGTTACCACCAGCTTTTATATTAACATTTGTGGATGTGCTCAATAATATGGTAGGGCCAATACCAGAGTGCAGCCAGGCTCTGCCCATAATTTCAATAGCTTATTTAGCTGCTGGGAGTGTTCAATAGGTTCAATAGGTGGCAGCTCCTGTTAACTGTAAACAGATTCACCACTATCATCATTATTTTATTCACTCCTACTACACCAGGTTTTCTGTGATTTAATAATTTGATTGCTTCCTGTTGGTAAAATCTAGCCACATAATGATTAGTATTTAATACTAACTTGACATTCACTCCTGTGGTTTGTACCCTTTTGCCTGTTCTGTTGAGTAAGTCTGTAATACTGAAAGGCCTTTGAAGCACCAAAGGGAGTGATGATGACATCCAGCACTTCCTCTCTTTACAAGCTTCTTTGTTGCCTGCTATTGTAGACAAACCAGTCAGTTCAGAGAGTGGGTATGTGGCCATGGCCGCTGTAGAACACACCCTGCTGCCTGTCAGAGACCCCGGGCTGCGGCAGTGGGAGATACCAGGGGACACTGCCATCGAGGACCTGGAGTTCCTCCGCAGCGGGAGATTTGGGCCTGTTTGCAGAGCGAAGTTAACCCAAGGGGGCAGCTCTACTGCCGTGGTTATTAAGACTCTGAGGGGTATGTTTGATTTCCTATGTGGGCAGAAAGAGCACTGTTTGTATCAGGAGTCTCAAATTTCTTGACTATGAAGGATTTTTGGATGTTCATTCTAGCTTTTGTCAGAATAGCTCATTATTTGAAATGTTTTTTTTACCCTCCTTCTCTTATGAAGCCTTAAAGAGAATGATATTTTAATTACAGCTAATCCTACCCGGTTAAATACCTTTAAAGTGCATTTATCTGCATTTATTCACAGAAATTGATCTTATGGAAAGAAGTACAGGTAAACGACTGTACATTTTACTAGTGCAAAATGCTACTTTTTCCCTCAAAAGCTATTTCATTTGTTTGGCCAGTGAGCGCCTGTTTTGTTTTTTCTTACGTGATTTTTTTCATTTAGTGAACAATAAATTATATGGATTACATAAAAACATTCTGAAGATTATTCTAAAGACTGGGAAACTGACTTTATTCATAGATCAAGGATAATATTCACCCCCTTACATTCCATGAAAATATCTAAATGAATCCAAATTTATCTTGAATTTCTACTGAGGTTATTTTTCTTGACTTTTGTCCCTGTTGTTTCAGACAACAGTACCACCAGTAAAGCCAAAGAATTTGTAAACTGGATCCGTTTCTGTGCTAGAGTGTGTTGCCACGACAACCTGGTGAAGATGATGTTCTGCCAGACAGAGCTCTGGCCGATGTACCTGATCATGGAGGCCTGCAGCCCAGGGAACCTGCTGCACCTCCTCTGGGAGCTGAGGAAGGTAAGGGTAGAGGAGCAGAAGGCCTAGTGCTGCAACACCTGCCCTAGCTCCAGCCTCTGGAGGGAATATGACAGCTGCAAAGTAGTTAATTCTTTTCTTTGAGAAGTATTGACATTCAAAGTCCTAGGAAATCAAAATTGTGTAAAGCAGTAAAATTCCTTGTTTGTGTCTTTTAATTAAATCTAACTGAGTTAGAACCACAAATACACAAAGTCTACAAAGAGTCTTGAATTAATGAAAGCTGGCGGTTTGAGATTTATAATTAGTACAATAAATTACAATTGTTTTTTATAATTATTGGGGTGGGGTCTGGAAATTAACTGTGGAAAATTGATTGTATTTATCTCTTTGTGGGGGCTTTGCCAACAACTCTTATTCTATTGTATTTACTATTTCAAACTCCACTCAAATTAAACGTCATTGAGGGTGAAAAGAGACATGAAACAAATATATGTCACGCCCTCTGCAGCCAGAGGGCGCTCCTTCTCTGTCCTGTCTCTCATTTCCGGTTCTTTGCTGTCCTTCCGGTGTTTCTCTCTCTCTGGGGCTATATATTTCTGGGTCTTTCATTCTGCCTTCACTCAGCATTGACGTTCAGATGTCCTGAGACCCGCTTAACACCAGGTCACCCCACGTCCGCTACCTGAGGGCATAGGTTTTTATACGGCATTCCGTGAACAGCTGAACCTGGGCTAACCCCCGTCTCGCCACTACGCATAGGGTCTTTTCGCTCTCCTGTCATTCTACGGTTCGTCCCTTCCGACATCCGTGACAATATATTGGCATTTTTAGATTGAAAAGAAGATTCAATTTTCTTGATGTACTATAAATCGCTTTTATATGGTCTCATTGTCTGCTTGTCAGGAGATCCTATGTTTGTGGGAATGCGATCCCAAATTTTGTACCTATATTGATGATGATAATATACAATATACACACACTCACATATAAGATTGTTTTCATGAAGAAGCAAGTAATATAATGAAAAGAACAACACATGATTGAAGATATTATTTAAAAAATGAGATACTACTTTCCTTGACTAACTTCACTATAAAAAAAGATAAACTCTATTAGCTGAAACTTTGGTATATTGTATGTCATGTTATATTGTGATAATTTATAGCCATAATATGAAATCAAGGAAAAAACTACTTTTATATTAACATCCATCCATTTGCAAACCACTTCATCCCATTTAAGGTTGTGGGGAAGCTGCAGTTGATCCCAGCAAGCAACAGGCACAAGGCAGATCACACGCTGGACAAGATGCTAGTCCATCCCAGCACAGACACACAGATAGACACACACGCGGGCACAAGGTAGGGTACATCTTGGACAGGATGACAGTCCATGACAGAGCACACACTGACATAAAAACAGACACTCACTCATGGCCAGTTTTCCTAGATTGGATTATGGCAGGGAACCGTTGTACCTGGAGGAAACCTAAGGGAACACTAAGAGAACATACATATGGCTCTGTGGCTAAGGATCTGTACCTGTAGCTATAAGGTTGCTGGTTCGTATCCCGTGGCTGGCAGAGGAATCCTGCTGTACTCTGTTGGGCCCCTGAGCAAGGCCCTTAACCCCATCTGCACCATATAAATGGCTGACCCTGTGCTCTGATGCCCAGCTTCTCTCCCTATGTGTCTCATGGAGTTGGGGTATGAGAAAAAGAGACAAATTCCTAATATAAGAAATTGTATAAGGCCAATAAAGTGATCTTATCTTATCCAAACTCCACATAGATAGCACCCCATGTCCAGAATTGAACCCAGGGCCCTAGTGCAGCAGTGTAGGCCTTCAATTAACATAAAATTGTTAAAAACTGCCAGGTCAGTAAAGATGGCTAGAATTCATCTGACTTTACATGATTTATTTATTTAATTTATGTGTCACCCCACCTGAACCCTAACTTTATATAAAAAGTATACTTTGTATACTCATTATACTTATACATTTCAGTGGAGGATGTGGAGTTTCAGAAAAGTACTGCAAAACACTCTTTCGGTTACTTAACTGAATTGTCATACTTGATTTCATATATGACAAAGAAGCAGTTTAGAAAACATTTTCAAACTTCAATTACTGATGTTTTTCAGTAGCCATTTTTAAAATGATGATCTGGTTTAGTTTATCCAAGTTGTTGAAACATGAGATGAGGCTTTTTAAATCCTTTATCCACAGGGAGTTTAAAAAACTGAAAATGTTGCCTTACTCATGTGATTGAGTCTTTCTGTGCCAAATTCAGATTCAAAGAGCTTTATTGTAATAACCAATGAATTACAGTGCTGCAAAGATTATGCAAATAACACAATGTTTACAGATGCTGGAAGTACAAACGTTACATAAGTACAAACAGTACATATGTCACAGGCTCACAGTCTGTTTCTAATGCAGTGACAGGAGATCACATACTGAGCTGTGGCTCTATTGAGGCTCCTTCCCAGCAGGATTGGAAGCTGTCCTGATTCTGGAAAGTGTGGAAATTATGGAATTAGATTTGTTTTTTTATTCCAGCTGGCTCATCTAAAAATAAGGTGTCTTTCAGGAATCTTCAGTCCTGTTTTAATCCCAGAGGAGAGCTTGTGGAAGCAATGTGGAAAGAGTTTCATTATGTGTGTGATGAAGAAAGGCGTTACATGTGTGTCATGATGAGAGAATAGAGATTTATCATAATGAAGCATGTTGTACAATGTTAGAGACTAGTGTCTCTCTAAGACAGCTGGTAGTCCTACACCCAGTCTTTAGAAAAGTATTGTCATCAAGTAATGAAATATAAGTTCTGAAATATTTTCAGCTCAGTTCCATCCCATTCTCTAACAGGGTTGTGATGAGAGTATGGTGTGTGGGATTAAACTACAGTACATATGATCCACTGGTCCCACTAGTTTCAGTTAGTATTGTGATGTAAGGAATTTTCCACGCCAGGGAAGATGATACAGTAGAAGGTGTACTGTACTGGTGATCCCAAATATTTTGACCAGAGAACACCATTAAATTGATTCTTCATGCATGTCAAGATGTACAGTATATAATTAAAAAGATTTAAATTTAATTATGAGCTCAATTCTAGGCTCAATTAGGCAAAAACAATAACTTGAACTGCACAGTGTGAGATTCTTTCCTTTTAACCATGTTTGTATTTTGAATATAAAGAAAATTAATCTCTTGGCTAAGTGTTTATAGAATGCAGTTATTTGCTTAAGTAATATTGTACGTATGCCCAGCTAGTTTTTGTCAAGCTGAATTGTTCAGATTGTTCCAGTATACAGCATATAAAGCTTTAGATTGGAGAAGTATTATCATGATGGTTCTTATTTGTCCATAACAATTACTTGTATGAGGAATAATCAAAAATATTGGTGCAGAATTTTAGATTACCTAAGAAATGTTAAAGCAGGAAAACTACAAGTACAGTATCTTTGCTGATACTTTTAATTATTCATCCATCCATCCATTTTCTGACTCTTTATCCAATACAGGGTAGCAGCAGAGCTGGGGCCTATCCCAGCAACCAACAGGCTCAATACAGGATACACCTTTGATGGGATTGCAGTTCATCGTGTGGCACACAGAGACACAAACACACACACTCACGCCAGGACCGGTTTTTCAGAAACCAATTAACCTACAGTACCAGTATGATTTTGGACTATGTGAGGAAACCGGAGCACCTGGAGGAAACTCACATCAACACAGGGAGAACACGCAAACCCCAGAAATTGAAACCAGACCCCTCCTTTGTGAGGTTGCAATGCCAACCACTACACCACCATGTTGCCGTTAATTATTCAAAATTAGCATTATTAAACGAACATGTAGTTTTATGTTTGAGCAACAGTATTAGATCTCCTGCAATTTGTTACACAAGAGTTCCAAAAAAGTTTGTCATTCTATTTGCGTAGTTGGTGTACATTAATATATTCTGTGATTTTTAACCTGTGTTCCCTCATTACTGCAGGATATGGCTATCCCGGATCATACGTGATATTAAGATATCTACCGTACTTCTTGCCACATGATTTAAACCATCTGTCCTCTGGGTGTTTTGTATGTTTTCCAGAGTGATGGTGAAAGTGTGGATCAAGTCCATGAATTCTCTGAGACGTCCGTGTATTGCATTGGCAAGCAGGTGTTAGCTGGGCTCGTAAGTTGGACCACTGGTTCTCTACCAGTAACAATTCCAAAAGCCAAAAAAGGTTGAGCTTCCTTTAGGTACTTTATATGGCTATCGGCGATATCACCCTCTAGCTCACAACTGATAACCCACTGCAACTAAGCAGGTGTGATTTTGGCCAGTACCAGGATGGGAGATCTCCTAGGAAGAACTAAGGTTGCTGCATGATGAGGTGTTAGTGGGGCCAGTAGGGGGCGCTCACCCTGTGGTCTGTGTGGGTCCTAATGCTCTAGTATAGTGACCGGGACACTGTACCGCATAAAGGCACCATTCTTTGTATGAGACATTAAACCGAGGTCCTGACTGTCTCTACTCATTAAAAATCCCAGGGTGGTTCTGGGATTCTGGCCAAATTTCCCATTGGCCTTTACCAATCATCAACTCTTAATTCATTCTTAATTTAATTCATTACTCTGTTCTCCTCTCCACTAATAGGTAATGTGTGGTGAGTGTACTTGCGCACTATGACTGCCATCGCATCATCCAGGTGGTGCTGATTGATGGTGGTGGGGAGTCAACATTACCTGTAAAGCACTTTGAGTGGAGTGCCCAGAAGCGAGCTATATAAGTATGAGCAATTATTTTTATAGATGCTGGTTCCATGTCTGTCCTTGACTGTGGTCTCAGTGACAATCCAGGCTGGCCCAGCCACCCATCAGCAACATCTCAATTCTGACACCCTCCCAGCTTCTCATGAAACTGTGAACGATCTAAGATTCATCATCAGGTTTGAGGCTCACATGATGTCTTTAATCAACTTTGGCTACTGGGTCATTTAGGAATGAGTTTGGATGTTAAGATTGTTTAAAAATTCCTTTGTTGATTTCTATTGGAAATCCAAGGATGATGAAGGACAAATCAAAATTGATGTATCACAATATTCAAAATAATAATTTTCTTTCTTTGTGTTATGGGTCTCCTTGGTTTCTTTTTACTAGAAAGGTTTATGTTTGAGACCGAAACAATGTCTAGGAAGATAACTTTATATATCCCATAGAGGATTTCAGTCAGGAACACCTGAATTTTTTGCAGAACTGTATTTAATTTTGCCCACCAGGTGGCAGTACCACCTAGAAAATGCTACTCTAAATAAGTGACATCATGGTTAACATTATAAAAGAGCACCATTTTATATACCATCAAGGGTTTTAACATGGAGGTTAAAGAGGCCTCTTCTGTTGCTTTTAGGACTATTTGGCATCAGAGCAGAAGCTAATACATGGCGATGTTGCAGCGCGTAACGTGCTGATCAACAGCAGGCTTGGTGTGAAGATCTCGGGCCTGAGCCTGGCATTCGAGGTCCAGCAGACTGGTTGTGTGTCAAGCAGGAGCGCAGCAGTGGTGCCCGTGAAATGGCTGGCACCCGAGAGGATTATGAAGCTGCCCATGACGGTAAAAAGTGACATGTAAGAACCTTTCTACTTCTCTGTTAACTAGCAGTGTACATATTTGAAGACATTAGTGATGAGGTTAAACATCAGTCAATTGCAGAAGCTTGTATGGTCACATTTTGCAGTGATGTGAAAAAACAATGTTCTTCAGACATGAGATTTATTACAATTCACCAGTTAAGAAACTTTGCACTTCCTGTATATTGTGACATCATTAACAAACAATTTTACATTACATTATAATATCCCTGAATTTCAATGCATTTAGTACACTTCTCTTCCAAAGCAGGCTCTTCTCCTGAAAATCTTTTGCTTGTGACTTTTCTCAATGCCTCTATGTGATCAATAATAATCATGTTTGGCAAAGGCTCCTCTGCAGATTTTGGTAGTAGTAATTTGATAGTAGTAGGTGGGGATGATGTCCCAAGGTGTAGTTTTCAGAAACTGAAACCCCACCTATTGTGAAGACCAAACTGAGTTCTCATTCCAAAGTTTCAAAGATAAGTGAACTAAATATTTTGAAGTTAAGGGACAATACATAAATTGAAAAATTTCCAGTTTCCAATTTACCAATTCCAATATTTTTCACAATTCCCAAGTACCTTGTAAAAACAGATACAGTATGGATTGTGCAATATCAAATCTTCCAAACACTTCTGAGATTGCACAAATGTGTTCTGAAATTTATATTAAAGGTAGATGATGGAGGATATGTAGTAAGAATTGTAGACAAGCTTTCAGTGTGGCTATGAAGCCCAGTGCTATAGAAACCAAGTATCATGCATGCTGTTACAGTCTATTACTAAGCAGGTCAGTATACAATTCTCCTGAAAATCTCTTAATTGTGACCAGTATAATATTCGGTATAATATTATCTGTACCCTAAATCAAAATAATTGCCATCTTGCCTAATTAACATACAATCCAAGTCACCCAAGTCTAGTGCTAGAACAATGAACAATGAGCAAGTGACTGGTCATTTGGCACAAATTAATTATTGATGCACAATTTGCCCAAGTCCATTTTGTATTTATTGTCTTATTTCCCTATACTGCAGTGTATCTTTTCATAGGTTTGAAAAAAGACCAATTTTTAAATAAACCTGACACCAAAATGTCCTGCGTGCCTTAATTTCTTCCTCTTCAAGAACTCTCTGTCATTGTTTTAGCCTACAGTAGAAAAAATAAGAGACAAGGGATAAAAAAATGAGGTTCTTTAACCATTAGGATGTCTGTTCAGCCAGGCAGCTGAGACATCTTGCAAGTCTTCATTTTGAATGAGAAACTGAGGCTATAAGTCAACCTCTGTCATTCCATAATGGAACACGAATCAAGGATGTGACATTGAAATTCTTACTTGTTAAAATCAGGATTGCCTGTAATGGAAGAACCATCTAATACAGTGTATAATTTTTATGCTTATTTTTTATCGTTTTAATCTTTGCATCTTTCTAGATGGTCATTCGGAATCCTCCTTTATGAACTAATTACTTTAGGTAAGATATGTCTATGTATGTCTGTCTGTCTGTGCCTGTCTTAATTATGTAGCATCCTTCAATTCCAGTGTGCTGATTACTTTCCTTCATTGGAGTATGGTTGCTTTAAGAAACTTTCTCAGTATTTCATACTGTATTTTTACAGTAATACTGTACTTTCATTTCTTTCCTGAAAAGTCTTGTAGTTATCTGAACATGTACACGATTTACATACAAGTAATGTTATTCTTAAAAATATAGCAGTATCATTCACCACATTTATTACAATTATTTACTGTATTATTCCTGTAATTTTTGTTTCTATTCATATTCTAAAGTATTTCACATCATCTGCTTCCTAAATGCCATCTTGCATTCAGTGCAGGAGTGTGCCTTTGAGGCTGCTATCTATCACTCCACAGCTTGAAAAGCACTTACTACACCTGCCTCTATTGTACCCAGCCTTTTCTCCTGTGTGTTGGAAGTAAAGCATAGCTCTAGCGAGAAATATTCATGTTTAACATGGTATTAGTTGATCCAGACATCTGATTACAGTGCTGAAGAATCAGTTCAAGTTACACACAGTATGAAGAGCTGTTGGTCACTTATTTCCTCCTAAGAACAAGATCACAGTAGAGCAGGACACAGACTACAAAGACAAAATAGTGTTTACAGCTTGCCAAGATTGTCTGAATAACAAAAGGTAGTATACTTTTCTCTAGGCATTTATTCACAGAATTTATTTATTTTGCATTCCAAATTTCTTTCTGAAAAAATACTGTAAGGAACTTAAGTTGAGAAAGTCATTAGCAATACACTATTTTTGTGTTTCAGCATAAGAATTATTAATGTTTTTTCAGATTTGCTTACTTTTTGTTGTTTTAATTTAATTACCTTACAAAACTAGAAAATTATATTTTCATGCAGTTTTATAAGACCAATTACAATATGAAATGGTAATAAAAACAACTCATAATATTTCTATCACAATATTCTATATACAGTACCACCTTTATGTACCTCAAGTCTCTGGCATTGCTTAGAAACATGCATAGTGTGATGATAAAGAAATTTGTACGTACAGTCATTTTAAGATCATACCAAGAATGAGTGGAGGATTTTCGGTATACCTTGCTTAGGCTTAGTAAATCTATATTTTAACCCAACTGCTTACTGAAGAAGACCAGAGTTTGGATCTCATTACTGTGACTAGGAAACCTGTTCCACACACTCACACTTCTTTGTGAAAAAAAATACTTCCTCTCTTTTTTTATCCTCTACAAATTCAACTAGTTTGCTTACTGCAGGCAGGTCTTAAACAGGTCCCTGCAGAATACTTCTGTATACTACTGCTTGCATTTGCCCATTTAGGGGTTATAATTCTAATATTGATTCTGTTTGTCTATTCATTAACCAGTTTTTGGTCCATGTACATACTGTATATGATCTGGGGACCACAAATATTGATATTTATCAATTTCTGATCTATATCCAATACTTGACGGTTTAAATTGTTTCCTGAAAAACTATCATAGTAATACAATAGTATTGTGTCTATTGTGATCTCAAATAATCAATTTAATTTTTGAAATAAAGTATTCAAGTAGTTTTCTTAAACTTCAGTTTGAAATGCAGCATCCAACCCAAAACTATCCATCTCTACAGGTACTCTAGAATTAACTCATCTAGGGTTCAAAAACACGTTACAAGTCTAGTAAAGAACACAGTAAATCCAAACTAGAATTTAAAAGGTAACAATTTCGAGTCACCACTGTGGAAGTGGTGAGCACTGTGAACATCAACAGTTTTAAAATGTTTAAATTCTTCTGAAGACCTATGGGATTACGGAAAAAGTTACCCAGCCATTACATTGAAGTCAATACTTTTGCTTCGTTGATGAAACTGGGGTCTTTGGATCAATTTACTAACAAGCTAGATGGGCTAAATAGCCTCCTCACATTTGGAACTGTTCCCTGTTCTCACACACAGCTTCTTCTTATTGTATTGTGAACTTAATCATTTCTAACTCTACTTCAAGTGCACATTTTAGGCAATTTTGATTAGTAGAGACTAACCTGACAACAGACTTTTATCTGCTTCCATGGGATTGTCTTCCCTCAGGGTCCCCACCTTATCCGGAGCTCAAACCCTTGGACACGTTTCCAAAACTACAGCACTATTACAGAATGAAAAGACCAGACCATTGTGGGGCCCCACTGTAAGTCCATAATGAAGGAAAATAAAACACTTTAAACACTAAATCACTTTTTTCTAAATCACCTTTCTGAAAGTTAAGAAAGTTGCATCATCCTTTGTATCCTAGCCTGTTGCACAACTCTCTACATTTGTTTTAATATCTGTCATCATATGTGTAAAATGTCTTTATGTACAGAAAATAAATCACCATAACTACTTAAGGTGGGTCACTCTATACCGCTTTCTTAAATACATCCAATTAACTGCTCCATATCATTCTGTACATACAGTACTGTATGTTGATATCCGTTAATAGAGAAAAACTGAATTTATTGGTCACCTTTCGCTGTTACATCCTTCAAGCCCACTTTAAGAACTGATTCAGCCAGTCCCTCCCTTGCCTGTTTCCTGAGTGCCTGTCATACCATGTCTGTGCTGCATGTGTTTCTTCAAATATCTTAATCAGACATAGTATGGTGTTTTTTATATGAAAAACATAGTATGTCTTCTAGGACAAATGACTCCCCAATAAAAAATAGTTAGAATTCAAATGAGGTTCCATAAAACCTAGGGTTTCCAATATTGATGCACAAATCACCGTTAAGGATGAGAAAAGATACAGTAGGGTTTTAAGAACATAGTCATATCTTAATCTTTATTATTGGTTAATATTTCTCTGTGAAGACACATCTGGCTGTATAACACATCCGTGTCCTTTAGATCTAGTATTTTCGGCTTTTTATACACAAGTAACAAAAATAATTCTGGGAAAGAAAACACTGATATAATTAAAGTAATTCATTATCCTGAACTACTGTTAGTGACAGGGTAAGTGTAGCACAGAACTGTTATTCTGTTATTGACTGCTTCGTTCTCCCTCACGCTGTAATACTGGTAAGAATAGGTGACGTCTCACAGATACTGAAAGCACTGCACGGTGCCCCTGTCCCTCTTGATTCTGAAGCCCTGCTGCTGTCTTCCAGGTATGACTTAATGAAGCATTGCTGGATGTGGCTTCCTCAGGACCGGCCCTCTTTCTCAGCAGTAATCAAGCATCTGGATTCCTACATGTATCTGGCTGAAACAAAGATGATTTGCAACAAGGAAAGCATGAATATGAACCAGTACAGTCTGATTGCAGGAGTGGTACTGTGAATTCTCAGACTGATAACTAACCACCAGGATCTGTACAACAATAAAGAGGTTCTTAGGAAAGTGTATTGGTATAAATTATGTTTTTGCACATTATAAGAACCAAAATAAATTGCTGTGGACGTTAATGCCTTGGGGAAAAGGTTGAATAATAATACATTACTTTCTCATGTGTAATGTCACACTACCTGTCTGCAAAATGTTGTTCTAAGTGGCAAAAAGAGAAAAAAATACTTATAATGTGTCTTTCCTGACAACTATATTCGATCTCAGAGACCCCCTTAAAAATACTTATGAAAATACAAAGCATCCCTGATACTTCTGGGCTTTGGTGTCAGAGACTGAGTACAGTACTAGTGTACAGCAGTTCCTGAACAATGAAGGCCAGAGCAGTAGTGAGTACAAGGAATACACAGCTTTCACCTGATAATGCCTCCAAGTAGAGACATGTGAGGGTTATGCTGCCTGAAGCAGGTATTCGTACATTTACACGTCGTTTCTGCTGCTTCAAAAACATACAGTATGAAGGAAGTGATGTAAAAAGTATTTGTTCTGTAAACATTACATAATATTAAAGCACATTTTAAAGCTTTCAAGAATGTATACTCAGAGATAATAAAAATGTAAATATTGGAATCAATAGCATTTCTGTAATGATTTTTAAAAGCGTTTAGGTATATTAGTATTATTTTAACTAAAGTGTATAGTATAGCCATTTTCCTAGAAAATAGAAGAGTAGAAGAGTTTATGTCTCATGCTTGATCTCATTTCAGTAAATGTCTGCATCTGTGATTGGGTGTGCAATAAACTGGTGAAGTTCATTCTTTAATCTTGGTCTAAAATCAGAGGTTCAGAATGTTCAATGTAATGTTTAAGGATTTGATGTATTTAAAAAAAATGTGTTGTCTTCTGAACAGCATGACTGCAAAGTCTTTCACCTTTTCAAAATCCTTAATTAACATTTTTGTTTTACAGAAATACACATATGAATGTATGTATGGATTAGATGTAAATAAAGGGCAGAATGTAATGAGAATCACCATCTCATGATATATAAACTAAGTATTGAGGTTGACAAATCTTATCTTGGATCTCTTTTTTGTTGTTTGTTTTTTGGATTCATTGCACAACTCACATGAATGTTTAGGACTTTTATTTTTTAGCCCTTGATTCTATTTTGAGAAATGGAGATAGCAGAAACTATTGTGTATTAAAAGGGTCATAGCCTGCCATAAAATATCACAGATGGCGTTGAACAGTGCAATGCAGAAACTGTACAGCAAATGTAAAGCGTGCATTTCTTCTTCTCAGTGTATAGAGAATAAGTAAATTACAAATACAAGTTTTCTTCTTAAGAGTTTTCACATTTATAATCACTGAATCAGAACCACTCAATATGAGACACATATTAAAGGTCATTAGATGCCAGAGCTTGTCATGAAAGAATGAGTTGCAATTGTAACCAGAACCTATTGTCCATTACTGGACACATCTCCACACATGCAGGTGGAAACCACATGGATAGGGCGATTTACAGAATACATACTGTATATAGGGGGAATGTACACTCCATACAGAAGGTGATGCAAACTGGAACTGAACCCAGGACATATACAACAATAATCCAATACAACAATAGTACAATACCATATGCAAAAGAACATTCAAAGACATTACTCAATCAGAACTTTTCCAGAACCATATACTTTTGTTCAGTTTACAGGCACCTCCTCAGCAGTAAACGTACTGTAAAAGGTTAGAGTGCTCTGAATAAAACTCATAAAAAAGTGTCAGTACTGTGTTTTCTGCATTAAAACACCTTAACTCCCTTAGAAATACAAAGTTTGTTGCATCTTCAAATACCTTACCCTTGTATTGATGGTTTAAGTCAATTTACAATCAATAATAGTGCCAAAGTATTTAAATTAATTTACTGTTTCAATATTAGTTCTATTAACATAGGAATAGGGATCATAGCAAAACAAGATTTCTTTGTAAGATCAATTATAATTTCCTGTGTTTTATTTTGTTTGTGTTTCCATAAAGTGAACTATCCTGACACCAATTATGAAAAAGATTTATCTCTGTCTGCTCATTGGCTTCACCACTATGCTGCGCTATAGAAAACATACAAATGGAAAAAAAAATATTTGATCAAATATTGCAGGCAGCAGGATAGCACAGTGGTTTGCATTGTCGTCTCGCAGTGCCAGGGCCCTGTGTTCAGTTCCTCTGTGCGGAGTTTGTATGTTGTCCCCATGTTTGAGTGGGTTTCCTCTGGGTGCTACAGTCCAAAGTCCATGAAGTCTAAAGACATACTGGTATTGGCTCCTGGAGTGTGTGAGTCTGTCTGCCCTGCAATTAACTGGTGTTCCATCCATAGTGTATCCTGCTTAACGCCTGTTGCCTGACAGATTAGGCTCTGGCTCCCCACCCCCCTGCCTGCTTTGGAGGTGAGATTGGCAGAATGAGAGGGTATTGATATGTTTGCACAGCCAGGGGTTAATAGGATCAGCTTAACAGACCCCATGGAGTGGAAATTTGTTCCACAAGTTTTCAGGCTGGACTTTTCCCAGTTTATCATTCAGGTCTGTCCCTAAGATAACCCCCTGCAGCTAAAGTGGTATAATCATAAAAGGGAGCTCCAACTGAAAGAGGAATTAGCTTTAGGTCCAGGAACTAATGCTAATACTATATGATAAAATTTCAGAATGAACTCCGTAAAAAGATTGCTTAAATAATGACATTATGGGCATTTTAACTGTATCAATGCATGCAAATTCAGATGCTAATTCCTCTAATATTCAGCATCTTTATTTGTGTGCATCTTTGCCCTGTGCCAAACTACCCTAGTGGAGACTTTAGTACTGTATGTGATGGGAGAAGTGGCAAGATGAATGGATGGTCGCATAATATTGTGGCCCTCAGAAATCCTGCCTCGCAGGGTCTGCGACTGGTTGACATTTGTGATCTGATTTATATTGTGATTTTGAAGCACCTTGGCTCCTTTGGGACAAAAAGCACTGGGAAACAGGAAAAGTCTTACGAATAGACCTAGGGCAGTCAGATTCCTGTATGAAAGCTACTTCTATTATAGCCGTAACAAACCAGCATTACACTGCTGGTTGGAAATATATGCCTGCTGTCTGGCACCTGTTTGCAGATATGTAGAATGCAATTTGTATTTGGTATATGATGCTTGGATTAGTATGCCTTTCCATTGCTTCCCTGTGCACTAGCAGTATGAGTATTTTATATGGAAAGAGCCACCTGTCTGGTGAAGAAACAGAACAGAGCAAAACAGATGAACACTCTTTCCATTGTGCTTGCTTTAATATACAGTATCTATACTCTGAGCTCCATACACAAAGAGTGCATGCATGGTCAAGGTCCACTTTGGCAGTGATATTGTTTCTTCTTTTTAAAAAAAATAGCAATAAAGAGAAATTATGTTATCCATAAGTCATTGACAGAACTCTTTTAGCAGTCTCTCAAGACAGGGGTAGTACTCATGGACTGGAGCATTGGTGATGATGACACATAATGAAAAGAGAAATTGTGTTATATTTTCACAGGGGTAATGACATTTGTACATTATTTATTTTATACAGAAATGTAAAAAGGATAGATGTTTTTGCTGGAGTTTATTTGAGTTTTTTTTTTTAGTAAAAAACACCTAACACCTAATAATACCTCTTAAAACTAAAGAATTCGAGTAAATCATAACTGGTTTTGCACTTTGCACCCTGGACTTACTAATCAGTTGTAGGCTATCAATCATGAGATTGATATAACTAAAGTTTAAGAAATAATGCCACTAATCAATGAAAATATTATTTGCACTGCTGTTGAGCTAGATCTGAATTAATTCGATATGTCTATGCTTTAACAAAATATCACATGCTGATGCAAATATTTAGACATACCATGCTGAATATCATACACCCACCATGGCTATTGTTTTACCTTGTTTTCTTTTTGTTGTCATTAAAAAGGTAGATAAAAGTGTTATGTGTCAGGTTTGTTTCAACATATTACACTCTACTTAAAGATTTCACTTTCTGATCATTGTTTATTGATTCTTAATAAATCAAATCAAATCAAATCAAAGTTTATTTATCAAATGCACAACAATACGGCGTGCAGCAGTAGTTGCTGGCAATGAAATGTCTTTTCTGCAAGCTCACAAAAAATCACAAGACTCACAAAAAATCACAAATTTCACAATAACACAAAAATCACAAAATTGAGGTTACGTTTTTTTAAATTGAATAAAACTCAATATGAGTAGAGCTGCTATGTGTCTATGGTGTATGCAATATATACAAGTAGTGCAGTTATGCTAAATACAGTGAAAACTGTGTCCATGTAGCCATTACAGGTGATTTGCTAAAGGAGCTGCAGGTTGGCTATTTAGCAGTCTTATTGCCTGGAGGTAGAAGCTGTTCCGTAGTCTGTTGGACCTGGACCGAATGCTTTGGTACTTTTTTCCTGGACGGTAGGATGGAAAACAGTTTGTGACTGGGATGTCTGGGGTCCTTGAGAATGGACCTGGCCTTCTTCAGACATCTAGCTGAGTAGATATCCTGGATGTTTGGTATCTCACAACCGGTGATGAGCAGCGCTGACTTCACCACCCTCTGCAGTACTTTGCGATTCCGGGCAGAGCAGTTCCCATACCAGGCAGTGATGCAACCAGTCAGGATGCTCTCAGTAGTGCACCTGTAGAAGTTGGTCAGGATGTGAGACGGCATGCCCGAACTTCTTTAGCCTGCGGAAAAAGAATAGGCGCTGCCGTGCTGTCTTGACCACGATGTTGGTGTGGTGTGTCCAGGTTAAGTCTTCTGAGATGTTAACTCCCAGGAACTTAAAAGTGCTGACCCTCTCCACTGGAGTCCCATTGATGTAGATAGGTGTGTGATCTCCTCCCTGATGTTTCCTATAGTCTACAATCATCTCCTTAGTCTTACTGATGTTAAGAGAGAGGTTGTTCTCCTGGCATCATGCTGCCAGGGTTTCAACCTCCTCCCTGTATGCAGACTCCTCACCATCTGTTTTCAGGCCAATGACTGTTGTATCGTCCCCAGACTTAATGATGGAGTTTGAGTTATGCCTGGCGACACAATCATGGGTAAATAAGGAGTAGAGGACAGGACTAAGCACGCAGCCTTGGGGAGCTCCAGTGTTTAGAGTCAGGGTAGAGGATATGTTGGTGCCCACCCTCACCACCTGGGGATGTTCCATCAAGAAGTCCAGGACCCAGTTACAGAGGGAGGTGTTCAGTCCCA